CCCCAAAACCCCAAAACCCCAAAACCCCAAACAATATCAATAATATTGATATAACAAAATGGGGAGCTTAGGTCACCTGTTGATTTGGAGTGCCTTTATAAACATGGGTCACTTCCATTTCGGATACCTCATACATATGATGAGCATTCTCTGGGATTTTACTCCCTGAATATATGGGTTCCATCCACGAAATATCAGAACTGTCAACGTAATCGCCAATTTCATATGTAAGTTATGCATGAATCTCTTTCAAATATGAAAAATTAATCCTAATTGGTCACTTAAATCGAAGTGCATTTGAACTTTGTGCTAAATAGAGACCTAAAATTCTAAATATCTTAATAGTTCTTCCAATGTAAGCAATAGGGATTTATCTCTCAAATATTGGAAAATTTGGTATGACTTAATGATGAGTTTATACTATGCGCCATTAACGACTTCATTGCTTATCTTGACTTGTGACACGAAGTGTTTAACTTTGAACATTATTTTTAAGATATTTTGAAAGAACATCAGTCATTTTGTAGCTGAAGAAATTTTGAGTATTACGTTTTACCTTGAAATTTTCTTAATTAGCCTAAATATTGGTAATCTTTTCTGAATGTATCAAAACTTAAGGCAAGAGCATTTGAAAATATATTCCTAGTGTATGTGTGGATTGGAAATGCCTAGCATCTCATGTTCACCCAAGAATATCTCATTTGTTAATTTCAAATATAGTTCTGATCATGGCTGCGATCAGCTCGGCATTTTCATGGAAGTTTGCCAGATTTGGGAAAAGAAAAGCCCTGATAATTTCCTCTATTATTATTTTCATTGGAAGTTCTCTTCTTTACATTAGATCACTATCTGCAATGATCATTGGAAGAGGAATCGTTGGTTTTGGTTTTGGCATTTCAAGTGTTGTAGGGCCTCTTTTCATTAATGAAATTGCTGGGTCAAAATATATTGAATATTGCATTGCTACTATACAATTCTGGATTAATATTGGATTTTTAATTCCATCATTATTGGATTTCTCACTACCAAGAGAAGGTAGGATTAATCCTAGTAATCCTGAAAATTGCCTGAACTTTGAAGGATTCCATTTTATATGGAGAGAAATGATCATTCCAATAACTCTAGCTTCTGTGATCCAATTCGTTTTCCTTTTACTGGTGTTCAAAAAGGAAAATCCTATCTATGTTCAACACTGAAAAGATATCTCTCATTCTTTAGGAGCAGCTACGAGGGAGTCAACTCAAGAGTTGTATCACTCTGGGATTAATTACGAGGAGGACTCCCAGCAATCTTCTGCAAAAGTAGAAACATGCTTGGAAAAAGACACTTGGAAGAACATGTGGAAGCTTTCTGAAAGGAAATAAGATCATAGCTTCTATGATTGTCAGAGGATTTCAACAGCTTACTGGAATGAATGTCATTCTAAATTATGGGCTTACGTTTATATATGATACAAGATTCCCAAGAATCAGCCTTTCATTTTCAGGGTCAGTAACCTCAATGTTTTTCCTGATTCCATCAGTCTACTTGCTCAAGAAATTTGGAAGAAAATAGCCTAATGATGACTGGAATGATCATGGCTTGTTTCAGCTGATGAATTTTATTCCAAATGGCAGACCAGTTGGCTATTGTTGACCATTTTATTCCAATCTTCGGATCAATGCCGAACTTGACCACTACAATATTCGTGTGGGTTTTTACTATTTCATTCTGGCTGAACCTCGCTTCAACCCCCGTGCTCTACTGCACGGAGACACTAACAGACAAGGGGATGTCTATTGTTACTGCTTTTCACTGGAGCCTAGTGACCTTCGTTATCCTTCTTCCCTCTCTAGCTATGGCTATTTTTGAACAACTCTACAGTAATGCGAATTTCAGAAGTACAAACGCATTCTTCTTTTTCCTCTTCAGTGGAACAGCAATGATAGGTTTCTTCTGTACGGCCCTATTCGTCGTTGAGACTAAGGGTAAGTCCAAACGTCAACTCTCTGAAGACTTCAAAGAGCGAGTGTTTAGCTTACGGAGTTCTAAGATTTATAAGAATTAAGCCTAATCCTATTTAAAAACCTACTTTAGGCAATTTCAATATTGACAAAAATCTTTGGGGTTTTGGGGTTTTGGGGTTTTGGGGTTTTGGGG